TATATATATATATATATATATATATATATATATATATATATATATATATATATATATAAATATATAAAATTAAAATAAAATACTTCTATCAGCATGAATGATCTCAATAATAAGCAATAAATATGCAGTATGTTTGTCTAATCGGATTTACCTTGGTAGGTCTGATGGTAAAGACATATTGCAATAATAATTAATATTAGAGAGCTTTCTCTGCATGTCATTCATACAGCATAGTAATTAATTAAAATTTATATAACTTTGCTGTACATAGCGCTTATTATATAAATGTTAATATATATAGAGTTAAAATAAAATATTGCTCTCAGCTTGAGTGATCTTAATAATAAGCAATAAATATGCAATATGTTCGTCTAAATATATAACATACTTATTACTTATTATTAAGATCATTCTTGCTGAGAGAAATATCTTATTTTAACTCTATATATATTAACATTTATATAAGAAGCGCTATGTACAGCAAAGTAAAATATATTATAATTAAGTACAAAAGCCTTATGAATGACATGTAAAAAACCCTGTGAAGTATTAGAAATTTAACAGGGTTTCTTTGCATGTCATGAGGCATCTATACTTAATTATTATACACATTACTATGCTGTACATAACGCTTATTATATAAATGTTAATATATATAGAGTTAAAATACTTTCAGCAACATATGATCTCAAGTATCAGACAATAAGTATGCAGTATATTTGTCTAATCGGATCTGCCTTCGTAAATCTGATGGTACAGGCGTATTGCATTAGTAGGTAATATTAGAAAGCTTTCAAAAATTGACTGGGTAGCTTAATTGTGACATCTTTGTTATTTAAATAAATAAGGTTTTTTTTACCTCTACGTCTCATTAGTGAAACGTAGAGTTTTCTCATAAGTGAGAATAGATAATAGCTTTATAGCTAGTTTTATAACACTACGTCATCCGTGTTAGTGGTTCTATAGGCCCTTATTCCCAAGTTTTTATTTACCATTAAGAACTATTAAAATATAATATTCTTCTTTGTATTAAAAATTAATTTCTTTCATCTCTCTCTGATGGTGGAATGTGACAGATTATGCTAATTAGCGGGCAGTGTTCCAAGACATTGCACGCGTGGCAAGAAAATTGGCGACGAAGAGAGATTGGAAAAATTTATAATTCAATCATCTGCGTTCTTTATGTGTATATATGCACGCTACCGTTAGCTCGTTACCGGTAACGTCCTTCTCTTTGGCAGTGATCCGAGTCTACCGATAAGTCGTTCGCGAACTTAATGCTGATAGACACGAACTCGCAGCACGACGCGGTGTCACGGACGCAAGAAAGACTACGAGAAGATTGCGCGTTGTAATAATAACAATTCTTGCTTTCAGCCGATAAGAGTATCGACCATTTTATTCGAACGAACGCGTTTCCGAAACTACACCTTGATACCTAAAGTACCTAATGCCTCTTTCTCTCCCCTTTTCTCTCTTCCTTCCTTTTGAATTTGAAACCTAATGCTAAGTCGCGAATCTTACATACTGCTGTAAAAGTTATCACAATATTCGATGACGAAACGAGAACTACATCGATCACGCTGCGTGATCGCTTTATTTGAAACGACAACGCTTCAGAGCAACGACTGAAATCGGCACAACTTTAGGTGAGTCACCCACGTGTGTCATTATCTTATTTATTCGGAAATTAAACGTGAAGACTGTGTTATCGTGTATCTGCAATATCCGGAATACTACCGAAATTCAGTCGCTGCTGTTTAGAACGAGCAATTCTCGATTCAACGATATCAGTGGACGTTAGCGATCTCCTGAAGCATTCCTAGAATGTGGTCCAGTTCTTGTCGGAAGTAACAGAGCTGTCGGTTCTTACCCTTTTCGTTCTTGCAGTCCTTGCACTGCGTGCGATTTCTCAATAGATCGCGCACTAGCGTCTGCAGAGTTATCTCTCTGCTCTCGTGCCGTTGCTGAAGGATCGTGATTTTGTCCTGCAGCAACTGCAACTGTTCAGTCCCCTGGAACAGAAACGCACCGTGCCGAGTGCCATTTTAATAAAAGTCGTGGCTGTCTCTCACGTACCGGCGTCGATAAGTACTTGACTTTCTCGGTCAGTGTCTTCACTTTGTTCTCCAAGTGCTCTCTCTCGGCCTGCAGCACGACTACTTGTTCTTTATAGTCTCTGAACTTCTCCACCTGCTCCTTTAAATGCGATATAATTGCTCCCTGAGAGTTAATCTGACCCTGTTAATAATTAAAAATTGTAATATTTTAGAAATCGTCAATCACGATAATTTAATGCATTGTGATGAAGCCGAGCGAAACAATACTCGAACAGAGATCGAACCTTATCTACAAATCAGAAAGAAGCCTGAGAGTAGCTACGTCATACATTTTGGTCATGGACGTAAGAATACATGGACGGAGCGAACTATGGCGGGGATGACGCCCAAAGGATGAAGAGTATTGTAGTGGAGTTGATATATCAAGATGACGACGGTCGCTATTTTTCATAGACATAGGCTGCGTTCGGGGAGACACTATCTAGCGCTATGAGCGTCCTTTGTCCTTGTTCAACTTTCAGAAACAAACAAGGACAGAGCACACTCATAGCGTTAAATAGCGTCTCCTCGAACGCAACTATAATATATCTAGACCGAGTGTTGAGGAGTGGGGGTAAGAGGCACGTAGAAAAGGATACATTGCGTTTTTAGACCCTGCGTTCTCTCTCATTCGCGCATCTCTGTAACACAATCTCTCTTACACATACGCTCATACACATGCGCGAATGAGAAAGAACGCAGGATCTCAAAACGCAATGTATCCTTTTCTACGTGCTCTTACTCCCACTCCTTAAATAAAAGCAAACGCTCTAAATATATTATGTCTATGCTGATTTTATACATAGAAAATAGATACAAACTCTGATGCCAACATGGCCGCGATATACTCCTCTTGCCCCTTGGGCTTCACAGCCCCTCGTCTATAATCGCACTTTTCGCTCCGTCCATGTAATCTTAAGACTAAGACAGAGAATGAGACCTAAGCGTCGTAGTTGTAGACGTAAAGTAAGGCAGAGAAAAATGTAAACGTATGCCATGAAAGGCTATTAGCCTTACGTTTACGTTTTCTTATCTTACTTTACGTCTACAACTACGACACTTACGTCTCGTTCTCCGCCTTAGCCCTTACGTTCATGGGGTCTGGCCACTGATCGTTCATGCTCTTATTGGTTGCATTCAATTTTTGTAATAAATGTAATATATGTAATGTATACTATGCATTCATTTAATATGCAAGTAACGGTATAATAGTTTTACTTACTTCAAAGATGAATCAATTCTTCATTTACAATAGTGTAAAACAGTCAAGAAAACGTATATTAACGCATAGAATTATTTCACGATGCGACCGATGCCATTTTACTACAAAATCTGTCTGAGTGGCCAAACATTATGCACAGGGTCTCTATTTCACGTTTGTTCGATGCTCCATCTATACTATCTGTCTATTTTTTAGGTGGAACTATGTTCCCTACGCCCATTTTCAGACGCTGCCGGTAAAGTGTCGATTTGGTGCGTGTCTATTCTACGCCCATTTTCTGGCAATGTGGGTCCGTGCTAAACGTATAATTGCGTGGTTGAGAACATGGAAGACCATGGACAGTCCATGTTTTCAAGTTCCATCTAAAAAATGGGTACAGATGACGCATCGAACCAGCGTGAAAATCGGTGTCGGCCAAAACGTATGGCGTGGCCGCTCTCAGGTTTCTAAAAAGTAAATGAAACAAAGGATACAAGCCAAGTGCTCAGCGCTACACAAACCTGTAACTTTACCACCTTAGAATCCCCGAACTTGACGCTGTATTCTTTCACGAGAGTGGCCATCTCTCGCTCGTGTTCTTCTTGTAGAAGATTCAAGTCATGGAGTCTTTTGCTCTTGAGTGCCATGAAGTCCTTATTGATCTTGTTCAGTTCCTCCTTTAGGATGTCATTCTCATTAGTCAATTTCTTGATAACGCCGTTCTTGCTAGTCTCCGTGTACTGTATCGGATCGTATAGCTTAGTAGTTGATGAAGACAGCCTCTGCGAGTCGGTGACGTGTCCGTTCTGATAGACATTTGAGTTCTGATCGTTTCCATCACCGTTCTTCGTTTTCTGAAACATTCTGTCAAAGTCCATGCTCCTGAAGCTTCTACGATCGTTTAGCAATTTCTCTCGCTCCTTCTGCAATCTCCTGTTCGTCTTCTGGAGCTCTTGACTCTCTTTAGTTAACTTCAGTACGGCTCTGTCCTTGTTCGTGATCTCTAACTGCAGACCTCTGATCGTAGCGATGAGATGTGCGTCTTCTTTCGGATTCTGAGACTTTGGTCCAACCTTTGATCCGGCTTTCTGATCTTTCTTATCCTCTTTGTCCATAATCGAGGCTCTGTCATCTCTCCTGTTGGTCTCCACACTCTTGTTCTCGACGTACCTCACCGTTTGTGTGAACATGTCGTTGTGCAACTTGTGCTCCTTCGCCGTGACTTCAGACAATTTCGCTTCCAGCTCTGTCACCTGCGCCGCATACTTATCCCTCATATCGGAGAACTTTCTTTGCAGATCAATCAGGTTCTGCTGCGCAAGGTTCTCTTTGGTCTTGATTTCGTTCTCTAGAGTCACTATTCTCTCTTCCAACAGTTTCACCTTCTCTGTGCCGATTTTCTCTTGGCCCGAGTTTGCGGTCAGTATGAGTGCCGACACTGAGTCGGGATTCTTTCTCTTGAGTATACGTTCCATCTCGCGCACTTGCCTATTTAGATCCATCACTTTCTTATTATCTAAGATAACCTGATCCTTGAGTTTCTGGCTGAGCAACTTCTCACGCTCGATATGACTCTTACTTATTTGTAGTTTCTCCAAGAGATTGCCTTCTTTTACCCTAAGCTCTAACAGTTCCTTTTCCAACGGCAACACGTTCTGTTGCATTTTGTCCAACTCTTGCTTCGTCACGCGCAACTGCTCAGACTTCGAGCTTAGTTTGATACTCAGGTCTTCTATTTGTCTCTTCAAGTCCAATTCAGCAGAAGTCATCGCTTGCAGTCGATCCGTGATGAAGTTATTCTTTGCTCGCAGCTGCTCCTTGAACATCTCCAATTCATCCGTGAGTAGGCTGTTCTGTTGAATCAAGTCGTCATTTTTTAGCAAGATGTCGGCGTTCTTTTGCTTTAAATCGGATACTTCAAGATTTAGTTTCAACGCCTCTTCCTGAAGATCCTTCACTCGATCAGTCAACTCCTGCATGTCGTTTGCCTGCGATACCGTACTCTTTTGCTTAGATTGTAAACTCTTCAGCTCCTCCTGCAGACGTTTCGTGTCTTGCATCAATTTCTTGTTTTCAGTCTCATAAGCGCGGATCAAGCTCTCTTGCTTCTCGAGTTCCTGTTCCAGCAGTGTCACCTTCATGTCATTTTTCGTGTGAACCTCCGAACGCCTCTCGTTCAAAGACAGCTCGTCGACTCTCGCTTTTAAGATTATATTCTGTTTCTTTAGGGCAAAGAGTTCTCCCTCAAAGGATGTGCGCATTTCCATGATTTGATTCTTATAGAGCTTCGCCTCAGCTTCTAACTGTTGTTTCAAGAGAGTGTTCTTGTGCTTCTCCTCACGACACAACATTTTCCAGTCGAACGTCACTAAATTCGTATCACCAGCGGCCATTAAATTCCTCCTGTAACTGTCGGGCGATTTCACCTGAGACGTTTTGCACGTAGCCGGTAGGCTGGACGTGGAACCGAGCTTAGCAGAATCCATTTTCGGTTTCAGGAGCGTGTTAGGTTTCGATTTCACTTTCTGGATTTGATCAGTATTTGCTTTTGGAATTGGCCGACTTGATATTTTTGGCTTGATCATCGGTGATTTTCTAAGAACCGAGTTTGCAGGCTTTCTAGACACATCCGATGTCTTATTAGTCCTGATATTTTCCAGAGAAGTTCTGAGAGGAGGTTGACATATCTGATCGTAACTCTTAGACTTGCAGAATCTAATCTCCTTTTTCGTTTGCTTATTATTTGGTGCACTAATAATGCGTTCAGTTTTAGGTACGTCCACTGTTCCTCTTGAGGCGCCGTAGCTCGACGTTTCCTGGTAACTCGTCTTGGAAGTTTTCGACGCTTTGATTGTATTTTCTACTTTATCTTCGATCTTCTTTTCTGGGGATGAAGATTCCTTGTGCGTGGAATCAGCTTTATCCGTGTTTTCTCCTTCTTTCTCCTTCATAACATTCTCGTTTAATTTCTCCGCCATGAGTTTAGGTATCGCGTCGGCAAACAGTTCTAATCTTGGTGTTAAGCCCACTGTGTACAACTCAACCTCGAAATTTATCTTATTACTTTCTGATGCGTTTTTATTGTTCTCTACGCTTTTTGTTGCAGATTTTTTCGAAGATTCGTTGCTAGAATTTTTGGAGAATGTTACTCCGACCGATGGAGAATTCGGTGCTCGTTTAGGTAGTTCCCCGCTCACGCTGGAATCACTTTCGTTGATTTCATGTTCCATATATGCGTCATTAGTCGCAGGCAATTCCTTCTCTAATATCTCGGAGAATTCCTTTTCCGGAAACTCGGGGGTTTTTCCATTTGCTAGTTGGCCTTCGGCAGTCGTTACCATTTCACCATTAGTAGTTTTTAACAACAAATTATACATCATATTAGGCTCTTTTGATTCTGGCTCTTTCTTGTCCGTTTGCCCATGCAGCAGTTTCAAAAAATGCGAGAAGTCCTCTTGTCCGAAACTGGAACTTCCCGACATTCCACCTTCTGCCTTTTCCTTGGATCTCTTCAGCAAATCTTCGAAAAAATCCTTGTCTACGTCCGTGATCTCCTTTTGCAGATTCTCTTTTTCCAGCTCCATCTTCTTTGTACTTTTCAGTTCTTCGGATTTGGAATGCCTCTCGATTGGATCATCCAAGTCAGAACTGCTAGATATCTCGACTTTCTGCTCTTCGAATTTTCTCCTCTGAAGTTCCAACGTTTTCGGCGGTCTCAAGCTGCTTAAATCCTCATAAACGATCTCGAAACCTGGACTATTCTCCCGCTTCTTCTCGTTCTTCGGACTTTTCCTTATCTTTTCCGATTCTCTGTGCACTTCCTCTTCTATTAGTTGAAAAATGTCAGCTTCTAACTGCCTCACTCGACTCAAGCTCTCATCCTGACCATTTTCTAGTACTAGAGTGTCAGATTTAGATGCGCTTTTTGATAGAGTACTACTATTTTTCCTTACTAACTTCTCAGCTTCTTCTAATAATTCCTCTACAGACTTTTCTTTCTCAGTGTGAATTTTGCTCGAGCCTCCTGATTTGGTACGTTCAGGGCCTGAATTAGGACTTAGTGCACCTGCAATCTTGCTCATTTCTTCCAATATGCTACCGATGTCCTCGTCAGTAGCATCTGCATAGAACACAAGCACATAAAACATGCACAACTATTATTTTATAAATTGTTGTTATACATGTTATATGAAAATTTGTATACTTACTCTCAAAGTCTGATGGATATTTATCAAAAGCTGCAGATGCAAGTATATCACACAGGGTGTCATCTTTGTCTTTGACTTTTCCTTCACTCCTGGGCATGGCCTAAATAATAATTGAAGCAGTGTTAATAATCATAAAATAAGAACACTGAAAAACTATGTTTTTAAACTCATTGTTCATTGAATACTTTTGCACATCATCACAATATCAATGTTGTATAATTTAGTCAATTACTTTGCACATTCTTTCCTTCTCAAGAAATTCTTTCATGGAAGAACTGACATCCGACGAAGGAGTAGGTGACTGCTTCATCTTAGTTTCTGTATTCTTGGCACTTAAGACTTCTAACCGTGTTTCAGGTCTCTTCAGCCACCATTTCTCTTGCACGTCCTTTTTATCAGCTGGGAATTGCTCAATTTCCTTGGTAGGTTTGAGTTTTTCCTTGATACGTATTGAGTTCTCCCCAACACTGAGACTTATAGAGGATCCCAAGGTGTCATCTTCCGTAGAAATCAACTAAAGTGAAAAAAAGTCAACAATAGAAATTTTTATTTACTCCTTTTAGCGAAGGAAACTTTAATACATCGATATTATAACAAAACTGACGGTAGTGATAGATTTAGGTTAAGAGCGTAGCGCTCGCAGGTAAAATAGCAAGTGAAACTTACGTCTTCTACTCGCGGTGATTTTCTAGCATTCGAAGACATTTCACTTCTCAGTCAGAGTCAAATTAAGTCAAAACACCGCGTACAAACGGTCATCTTCACCGAGCTCTCTAACACCTGCCATACTTTTTGTTTGTTTGTTACCTGTAATTCGTTCAATTGCCGCTTGGACGCGACAGCCACGATCGTAGCGACAACAAAAAGTCTGTTTTCTATTGCTGAACTAACGTACACTTTCGGAATTTAAAAAGAGATGTACAGATAAAATCTGATGTGAAAGAAAGATAAAAGAGAATTAAACTGCGTTCGGGGGATACTATTTGGTGTTAAAAGCTTGTCCTTATTACTTACTGTTACTTTTGAACAAGGACAAAACATGCTTTTAGCGCCAAATAGCGTATCCCCGAACACAACTTTAGTACAGTCAGTTCAGCAATAGAAAACAGACCCAAAAAGACTTATCCGTTTGCGCGCCACGCGAGTATTTCAAAAAAATATCTTCTACATATATCACTTTTTAATACATTTTTTATATCATATAGAGCTTCTTAAGAAATAGGTAGGAAAAAAAAGCTAAATTAGAGTCCTTACAAATTATAACTCCGTTATGTATGCAATTATATAACATTTATTGATGTAATGATATGAGAAAGATATATTTACTAAATAACAATCTCTTTATTTGCATATTAACAGACGGATAATTCGGAGAAACACTTTGCAACAATTAGAGATTGCACAATGCAGTTAGTGCCGCAACAAGTCACTGTGAATTGATTGTGATATAAAAATATTATTTCATAATGTTTCGTGAATAATACTAAAATAATAGCGTACTTAGTTATTTGATAAGTTCATTGCGCAATTAGAGGACTTATCTCTATAAAGTCTTTTTAAAAAATGGAAATTTTTTTTTGTATGCACATTTTTTTACTATTAGCTCTTCATAATTTAGTATAAACCACATTTAGTATAAAACACATAGAATCACTTTTTTTTATAATTTAATTTTAATGGTACATCGATAATATTCTCTATCATGATGCTGATCTAAAAGAAAATACATAGTATGCGTTAAACTATTGTGAAGAAAATATAAATATTCATACATTATTAATATATATTTTTACACAATTTTTTATTTCACGTCGAGGTTGATGTATAAAATTTCCGAACAACGCAAAAAGATACTCAATTAGTACGTACGCTGATTTATATATCGCGAAGGTCCTCCAAAAAATCAGTTCTTATTTTTCTACAACATATCACATGGTCTCATCGATTTCGGTATATATATATATTTTTTTTTTTTTTCATATTTCATAAAATATATCTCTATATATATATATATATATATATATATATATATATATATATATATATATATTACATATATATTGTGTATATATATATGTATGTATATATATGTGTGTATATGTATATACTCTTATTCTCTGAAGGCGACTCGTGTATTACTACATAAAATCTTAAGCGTATGTCGTGACAATTGTCATAGTTTAATGCACCATAAATTCGTAAATAAATATGCACACATCTTCGTTCATAATGTTCTTAATCGAGATCTAATTTTGTGAAAGGAAAAAAAATTACATATCAAATAGTCGACACTAATATTGTGAAAATATCTTGAATTAATAGAAATTCGTTAAAATTTTTAGAGGCAGAGAGGCACATTTTTTAGGGATAATCATCCCGTTATCTTCCAGATACTTGAATATAAGTGGAATTCTTCCCACTGCAAGAACGAGATACCCGGGTAATGGAAATTAACATCGCCTGTATATATATGAATATATATGTGTGCACTCTCAATCGCGAAAAATCTTCGATAATGATAAATGTTAATTATCTGTCTTGACGTCATTCGATAGAATGACAAAACTTTTTGTCATTCTATCGAATGTCTCTTTTCATTTTAGAAAGCCATAATCGTCTTAAATTTTTCGACGCCTTTCGTATTCCGGTAGCTCGAAAATCACATGATAAAAGAGAAAATCAATCGTAATAGCACGCATGCAACCTAAATAGTTCCATGTTCATAAAGCTAACATTACACGTTTCGCAATAATGCTTGATGCTCTCGGCCAATTTCAGCATCGCCGGCACCTTCTTTGCGTTCTTCGCGACCGCATGCATCAGTTTCTTCGTACGCAGCCTCTTCATCGACCATTCCACGTAATCGTACTTCCGCGTTTTACCATTTCTTAGGTAGGTGTCCTGACTTCTCAGATATTTGGGCGAATAATTCGCCGCGGATAAACGACCGATTTTATTCGATTTTTTGAGCCTATTCTCGGTGCCATTGGCAACGACTGGCTTTCGTTTAACCAGCTGGAATTTACCACTGGATTGCGATCGGTTTGTTCTAAGATAGTTCACATTGTCTCGCAGATTGACACCGGTATCGGTAGCCAACGCTTTCATCTTCGCTGGCAAATCGGCGATTTTCGGCAATGTAGACATCGTACTGGTCGTTTCGCCGAGAATCGTATTATCAAGATCGTCCGAAATCTCCTTCTTTATCATCATCTCCAGATCGTTCGGAGTATTCTTGTCTTTCGATTGTAGCTTTGAATTCCGACTTACGTCCTCCAGTTTGCGTCTCTTCGTGCGATGTGGTAGCTGCGATTCCTTTTCCTGCTCGCGATGCACCAATTCTGACGTTACGCTCTTTCTCTTAGGTCCGTAATAATCTACAACGTATTTCCTCGGTCTCAAGGTGCGTCCCTCTAACTCCAATTGCTCCACTTTGATCTGCCGCGTCAGCTCGAAGTCCAAGGCGGGAGTTACATTCGAGGTAACGAGATTTGTCTTGTTCCCCGTAGATGGTCCCGGAGCATTGCTCGACGCTTGCTTCTTGCTCATCGCGTAATTCACCAAGTTTTTCCTAGGTCTCAGATTCCTCACCAAGGTACTCCTGGAAAAATCAGCTACCTGGAGGGCCGTTCCAGCATTTGTTGCGTATCTACTGTCGTGAAAATGATCCCGCGTGTTCAGAGCGGGCATGTCTTTGGTTTTCGTGTTGGTGACGCAAACTCGCGCCTCTTCTACGGCGCTTTCGAGGTGCGACAGATGGTCTCGTGGCCGGTCCTGAAGCGTAGCACGTGCGAATACTTTCCTCCTGGTTGACCTCAATCTGACGCAAGCACCATCGAGAGCAGTTCTTCGCCGTGGATCATCCGCGATCTCGGCGCACCTCGACACCGAGCCCTTGTAATTCCGACACAGCCGTTCCGCCGTAGTCCTTCGCCTGCTTTGGTCCTTATCACAGCAACATCGGCAACGTGAGAACGCCGCGTACGTCAAACCCTCGCGAATGCAGCTGGCTGGGAATGCCACAGAGTTTGCCATCGAGTTGATGTAGTCGATGTTTTCGACTATTGGCTCCAGCTCGTACACGTCATAGTCCAACGGCTCCGTTTTGATGTTCACGTTCTCGATATGCACCATTGGTACACCGATCTTCTCTCTACCGCGACCTTTCTGCATCCACGAAAGCTGGCCTTTTAGCGTCGCGTCCGTCTTCAGGATATCTATGTAGAATTTGTGGAACTCCTCCAGTTTGTAGCTGCACCGATGACACATATGCTTCGGCAGCAGGTCCATCTCATGCACCTGCGGGACAATTTGATTGCTTTTATACTGAGAAAAAATACATGAACATTTATTTCTGGAACATAAATTTGTTTGATTTATTCACAGAAATTAACTTTATATCCCACAAGTAAATTTTCAAGTATTTTTCTCAGTATAGATCGTCTTCAAATACTCTATAAAATTAAAGTAAAAATCGGAAAATGAAAACAAACTCGGAAAGTTTTAAGTGTGGTTGAGCCGACTTTGTCAAGAGGTCCTGGAGAAGAACGTCAAATTCCAAACTGGAGAAAATTAATTACACCAATCCAAATAGATTAAGGTAGAAAGAAAGATCTTGATTTACTTAGATTAGAAATTTATAGGTTTAATTAGATCAATTAAACGTAACTTTCTCGAGCTCACGATTAATCTTCCCAAGTTCCCCGCGAAGAAGAGAGTTATTGCGTCGTTGTTATTCCAAACTCTTTGACGGTTCCACGTTCAATTGTCGGTGGAGTTTTTCGCGCACAAATTTTACAGTATTTACTAAGAACTAAATTATCAAGTCGCAGCAAGGGAACGGGAAATAGTTAAGTGCATCATTACTTCAGGTGGACGCGCGCCTTTTGGACATACGCGCGCACGCGTGTGTGTATGTGTGTGCATGTTGGACACGTGTGCAGGGTACGCTGCAAGCTTGGAAACTTCCGTTCATTAACATTATCGCGTTGCTTTCACAACCGGTTGTTCTCGCTAATAGCTTCAAAGTGAAACGAATACGACATATGTCGTTGATTTGATTGCTAATTTGTAATTTATGATTGATTCAGTAATAAATGTACATTCCGCCTCATTTCGAAATGTTTAATTGTACTAGAGTACGTAAAATTATGCAAATGGCATTATAAAGAAAATTGTATTATTTATATAT